CGCCCCGGCTGCGCGGACAGCGGCGCAAGTGCAGCGCGGGCGGACCCGGGGCTGTCGCCGCTGCAGCAGCGACCACCTTGCTGGAGTGATTTTTAGGGACAGCAAATAAAGGTCGGGACTCAAGACGACAAGTATGAGCGAAGCCGGTGGAGAGCCAGGATCCGCAACAGCGACCCCATTGACCCGGGGCAAGGAAGGATGGAAACGCTGCGAGTAGGAATTCGTTCCTCGTACTGCGGTTCAAGCATAAGCAGTTTGCTGCTTTTTTAACCTACTTAAACCTAAGCAATCAGCTCGCCTACACGGCTGACCCTCTGTTTCACCACACAGTGACTATTAATGTATTATAAACACGATCTCCAGCTCCTATGTTAGAGGAACAAGCCCACAGCTGTTTGTTAAGAAAAATAGGAATCTTTAATTTATTTTTCATCTTAATCTTAAAACTGTACAGTTCGTTAACATCTAAAGCACATGCTCATTGCCTTGTTGAAAGACTTTTAAGGTTTCACATCCATAATATTGTGCAGGAATGAAGGCAGTAGCCTTTACGGGATCTTCTCCGCAGTGAAGACCTGAGAAGCCTCACGCCGAGCCTTAAAAAGAAAAGAGGGAGTTGAGGGCGAAGGTTTCATAGATCAAAAATGAAGGGCACGGTAATGAATTACATTTTTTTTTTTATAAACTAATACTGTTCTAAAATTGTTTTGGTCATGCTACAATTGAGAGTGCCCAGTATCTTCTATTACGAGTCTGTATTTTCAGCTGCTTAACTCTGACAGACTAACTGCATAGGCTCAGGTTTTCCATATCGGGTAGAAATTTTCACTTAATTCAGCCATTTCCAACAATATAGTTAGAGAAGAATATTTTATTTGCATGGGTTTCGTTTTTTTTTTAAATCTACACCAATTTTGATAAGCAGCTCTAAAGAGTTCCCATACTTTGGAATTGACTCTTAAAATCTACGAAGGGATGGACAATGGTATTCTGGTCCTGGGAACAGGCCTTTTTTTGGCCCCATGAAACTTCCAGAACCTGAACTGGAGCTCAGTGTCACAGGACTAGGTCTCTTGCCAGCAGATATATGTGATGCACACAAATGCTTGCTCTAGTGGCTAGCAACTAAATAGTAGCTGGGTGCTTGCTACTCCTTAGCTAATAGTTGTACTCTGCCCAGGGTAGAACACAAATCTTACTGGTATCCCTGGAGGGAGGGGAGGTGGGGGTGGCAGCATGGATTATTCATCTGTAGTGAACTGTAGCTGTACCTGAGTATACATGGAGGTGCTAAAAATGCACTGAAATATGCCAAGATCATATTTCTGCATTTCAATTTGGATGCCCAAAATGTGTGGAGATTTTTGATGATTTTAACCCTATCTTTGCACCTTTCTTCTCAAGATGGAAAATGCAAATACTTGCATCCAACTTTACAGGTTTGGCATGAAGTCAGTTCACTAGTGCTTACAAAGCAGATAAATACAATGATGAAGGCGCCTTAGAAATGCCATAAAAATAAGTTCTCATAAACTATTAATTGGATGGTTTTCATGTGTATTATATACATCTCAGGCTACACATTGAGTGAGCAGGCTAGAGAGATTACCCCATTGAAATAAAGAGTGTGAAAAATTACCCAATTCAGTGAAGGAGGTATGATGCTATGGAAAAATAGGATGCGACTGCATCTTGAAGGAGTGTATTGCATGCAAAAAAGGGAACCTAATACATATTGCATTGGTATCCTTAAGTCTTCCTTTTCTGATGTCTGAATGCTTTTGCAACTTCATAATGGTGTTTAAAATTTTTTTTTTTATTATTATTTTTTTTTTTTTTGCATACAGTTGGCACATTTTGCTAACCTTTTTGCAACTTGCTAACAAAAGCACAAAGGACCAGATCCACAAAGGACATGAAGTACCTAACTTCCATTGCAATCATCTCTATGGAATCAGTCTTGAGAATAGGAAACCCATAGTTTTCAGTCAAATATTTTAAGCTTAATTACTGAGACAACTTTAGCTGTGTGAAAAACAGTTTCTCAGCTCCTGTTAACCATGTTAAAAATTATTTCAACTAGAATTCAACTCTGCTCTTGTACTACAAGATACAAAGGTCCAATGAGAATTGGTTTAAGAGAGCATGGTCACTTTAAAATTATTAGTGATTTTCATATGACCAACTTGATACTGGAGATCTTGACAAGTTATCTATTACTGGACACTAGATCTGAAGAAAAGAATCCTTTGTAGTTCAAATTTGGTATTCTTTGTTTCTTAGAAATATTGTGTATTCTTTGTAGAGCTCATTCTGTATATGCACACAATTTGTTTTATACATACTGGAAACAGCTAACTTCCAAAAACTAGATTTTTTAAAAATTTCATATTTGAGACAAAATAAATACTTTTTAAAATTTGGACTAGGGAATAGATACTCTGTAGTTTAAGAATGAGTATTAAAGCTGCCATCTTCATTCATGAAGGATAAAGAAGGGGGGGGGAGAAAAAAAGAACAGAACAATTCTGTTGACAGAGAACTGAAAGGAGAAAGGAAATTTTATTATTTTTCAGTAAATTCAAGTTGCTTTCTGGAATACTTACTGCTTTTTCTTCTGGTAAAAGTACACCATCTACAGCCACTATTTGGTACTGCTTATCTTTTAAGCTACCCACAAATTTCCGAAGTTGCTTTGGAAAGGTAACATCACTGTTGTGTCTTAACAGCTTCTGCATTTCTTGCGAAGGGCACCCTGGGTCAAATATTAGTAAACATAACGTTCTATTCTTCTTCTCTTCTATTCCAACAACGGTACGGCTATGACCTAATTCAGAAGAAATTTTCATTGTCATTTTGCAAGCTAATTCATGAAAGTTATTTTATCCCTTAATTTATTACTTGTTAAATAAAAAAAAATTTGAACTCAAATGAGATCCCATGCTGATTATAGCGGTTTCATTCTGATGGAAATCTTATTTTAAGTAAAGAAAAATATAAAAATCTAGATGAATAGGAAAAAAAGCCTAGGAAGGAGGAGGGAGGGGACAATACATATATGAAGATATAAAATAAAACTAAAACTTAGGATACTGACCTTGGTGCTGCAAGTAGAGAGGTGGCTTTGAGGTACACACAACTTTTGCACCATCTTCTCTGCCTCTAGAATAGTAGCTCAAAACCCACTCAAATAAACGGGGGTGTGTACCCATAGGGCCAGTTGGTTTGTGAAAGTCAATAACCTGACATCTATAAAGACATTTCAAATGAGATCTTTAAAAAAAAAAAAAAGGCATAAGAGACCCAGTTTTTTAAAAAATGGTTTGTAGCGGTTACTCTTTCCTTTTTACACTGACTACTGTCTTTAGAAGATATTGTTCTGATAGATATTACATTTGTAATTGGGTGGGACCACAAGCAGCCTTACATATTAAACTGCCAGAAGACACATCAGTGACATGCTTTCAAAATCAGTTTTACTGAGAAAAAAGCTCAAGCTAAAGCGACAGTTAGGAGACCCCTGACATCCATTTATCATCCCACTGGGCAGAAGTTTTCTATTTGCTGTCTCAGTCCAAAGTTGATTAGGAAGTTAATGATGACCCCTTCAACTTCAATCTGAATAATCCAAAAGTGACAGGAATACATCATACATTAAGACACATTACGTGGTAGCAACTTTTAGCACCACAGATCAACAACTGGATTTCAAATGTGTTCATAAGACTCGATCCTCAGTAAGGGAGATGAAGCTTTTAATTAAAATATTTTATACATAAGGAGCACAAAGTTCTAGTCAGTTGAACAGTTGCTTTCACCACCCTGCAACTGCATAATTACGCAATTACAAAGTGTTTTGTATAGGGCTTACATGCAGTTATGACCTGGCTAGTTTTAATACAATGAAGCTGTATAAACTACACAGCTGAATGGCTTAGTCTTGCTTTTCTCTCAATGAAAACTGGGATTAAACACAAGTTATGATGACTTGAATGGATCAAAGTGGTTTATGCATATGCAAATAAACACAAACATATCTTAACTACAGATAAAATATAGAATGATAAGGGACTAGGCACGGTAAACCACTAGCTCTGAAAATATAAACTGACGATCACAACAGAACAGTAGCCATGGGCCACTTAGTACACACAAGGCCACGGGCAGCAGTCCATGGATTGCATCTGGCTCGCTAAAACTTTTCAATTAAAAGCCTGATAAGGCCACATGGTTGTCTGGAAGAAATGTTAAGGGCTGACAGGTGTATAGGGAATCACTGCTATAGAAAACTGGTGCATGTTGTTATTTAAGATGCTATTTACTGCTTAAGCAAGTTCCAAACTAAACCTATTAAAATTACTATAGATTCATAGATGCTAGGGTCAGAAGGGACCTCAACAGATCATTGAGTCCCGATCCCCTGCCCT